GGAAGAATAAATTTAACGAGAGAGAAATGACATTGTTATTACACATGTACTTCTGTGATTGAAAGAAAAATGTTTATGGACACGAAGAACATAGTTTCTATTTCTTTATTCCGATTTTCCTATCCATACAAAACGCATGCTCGTTTCCATTCGTTCTGTATGATGATATATAAAATGTAATGAGCATCATTTTTCGTAGTGGCGTTAATCACAATCTACAATCTTCGTATTTTATTTTACATGTAATGTTCGTTCAGTTATTCTCTAGCTACTTCCAGAAATTTTCAATCAGTTTGTTCGCTTTGGTATTGGTATTAATTAAGTCTAGCTGTTAACAACATTCGTATCTAAACAATGCTTTCTGTCAACAAAATTTGCTGAATGTATTAGGTCGTGTAATAAGTTCATTTGCCACTTGACACGTTACATTTTCCAGGACATTAAAAACATGTGTTATTAAAACTGTTGTTTGCATCATTTGCTGTGATTCATAATTCATCCATGCTGGACAGAGGAACATATACGTATGTAATATATGGATAAATGCTGCTTATAATTGTATTACTTACTGGTAAAAATGAAAAGAAAACAAAGACTAATGATATTAGTCTTTGATAATAATATCAGTCTTAAATATTTAAAGCACAATATCAAATTCGAAATATGATTGACAGTAATGACAAGGAATTTTAGAATATTAAAAGGATTGTTTGTTTTTGCAGAAAATATTACACCTCGTACTAAATATCAACAATGGAAATCTTTAGAGTCGCTTAATATCGTCGAGATGTTACGAACAAACTTATTACACAGCCTAATCGGATCGATACATTGCATAAACCGCGATCACACACAACCGGTTGTAATTTCAATGCTAGAACGACAGTAAGTAAAAGTGACAATTTCAAATCTTTGTATCAAATTTTTGATCAAACAGTTGCCATTCGCCAAAAGACTTAAATAGCCTATATCTATTGCAGCTCGACTAACAGAGAAAATAAATTAACACTTGACAAGCCACCAGGGCTGTTGTCGCTTATCACATACCCATAGGTTTCAAATGTTTAGACTTTTCGGTTCATTCTCTTCACTTCTCTTTGTTCAGTGCTTGAATAAATTCTTCGAGTTTCTCTTGAATTTGTCTAACACGTTCTGAAATGAGATACAAATGCAAAAATATGAGCAAAATATTGTCTATGTTACCAAGTATGATTTTAATTTGAAATGCTATGCCTAATAAAAGAACTTACTTAATTCCTCAGCCAAGGTGACCCGTCTGCCGACCAACAGTTTCTGCTTCATTTCGTTATCTTGGCTGTAATCTTCCAACACGTCCTTTATTTCTTTGTCTAGCCTGCGAGCTTCTCGATTCATGATTTGTTGACGAAGCGCGTTGGCGGTGACTTTCAGCATTTGTTGAATCCTCCAAAACAAGACAACGTCGTTGCATTCCATCTGCAAGGAAAATCCCCGATGAAACCATTCCGAGATAGTAAGCAGTTCTTTTCTTCTTTTTTTTCTTTTTTTTTTTGTTTTCTTTTAATAATTCGTACACTTACTACAGACTCGTGACCAGTGTGATAGAGATAATATCCTTTTTTACAGTCGTACGCCCTGGCCAAGCTCTGTTGCAGGAAGAATCTTCTGTACACCGGGTGCCACGTTTCTCGAATGAATTCATTGTCGATTTCCAGGCCGTTTCGTTGCAGGTTCTTCCTAATCGCCGTGAGTTCGTCCTGAGTGAGAGTGGGGGCATGTTTCTGCGAACAAACAGTAGACACAGATGATGATCATCCAAGCCCAATCACATCGATGATGTTTCCTTACTTTGTCGACGTAGAGGATCTTGTCCAACTCGTTCTTCACTTGTGTGCGTTTCTGTTGTTCTTCAGTCTTATTCTGCCAGTACAGCCATCGTTCTCTGCGACCTGGTCCGAGCATGTCTTTCAAGATTTGTTCGGTACCTTGCAGTTTCTCTTTGACCGAGGTCTCCAGGAACCGGACCGCCTGGTCCCAGTCGCGTTTATCGTTCACGCTTCTGTCCTCCAAGGTGTTGAATTGTATAACTCGCAACATTTCAGACGCCTGAAGAAAATTACCCGTGTAAAGCGCGGGACATCGTGGACAGAGTTTCTAACGAAGAAGAATTTACCTTCTCTTCCCAGTAATGTCTCGTCATGGCTTCGTTGACCACCGCGTTCTTTAGATTGTCGAAAATGTTGTCGTGGTCGGGCTTCAGTTTCGCTTGGTTTATGAAATTCTGGAACTCTTGCTGCAAGCATTCCCAGCCGCTCTCCACGCTTCGCGTTGGCAATTGCTGTTCGGCCCATTGGCGAAGTTTTATGTCGACGGTGGTGTTGAACACACCTGTTGATCGCAATAAGACTGATCAGAATAATCTTCTACGAGAGGTAATCGCACGGTGTCGCCGTGAGTTATACTTGGATTTCCGCTCTGAGCCGCGGGTAGGTAAATGTTCTCGAACACGTGCATGCTAACTTTGTCCCACATCCTGACCATCAACACCTCTTCCCAGTGCCGAGGGGAGACCTGTGACAGGTTCACAATCTCGTCCAGGATCTCGCCTCTTGCCTTCTCGAAAAGCTCGTCCCTGTCTAGTTCTCTCAATCTGTACAAAATAAAGAATAACGAAACGATTTAGTATTTAGACTCTCCAAATGAAACTCAAGTTTCCAGTAATTTTATCTTCCCCGCGAGCTGGACAACCGACGAAGGGATGAAATTATATACCTTGGGAAATTATTTTTCCACTCTGTCTCGAGATTGAATCTGGTCGCCTTGAATGCATCGGCTTGTTGCTCTACAGTCTCGCGAACCATCTTCCAAAAGCATTCCGCAACCGCGAGACTCAGGTTTCTCGTCGTAACTTGACCTGTGTAACCATCCCTGGAAACCATGAAAAATCGTCTAGCCTTACTCGAGAGAAGTGACTTTAACTCGACATACCGTTAATAAATCGATTGTTGATGATACGACACTTGATACAATGGCCCCTGAGTAATTACAAGATTGAAAATGTAAAGCCTCGATAGTACACAAATAATGCTAATCGCATTTCTTTGTAATTGAAGTTCAACGCGTAACACGTACTTGAAAAGTTTGGAATTTCTGAAGAATTTCTCTTCGTAATCCTTGATCGTTTGTATGTCGTCGTCCTGCCGGCCTCTGCCAGTGACGACAGCGAAGTAGCCTAGGGCCTTCATGGGGAACAGCTTGCCGGACAATATTTTGCGAACGCGTTCAGGATTGGTCAGATTCTCTTCTGCCAGGTCTACCTATCGATGCCACGGTATTATTAATTACGTACGAACGAGATATCATGGCTTATCGGATCAACGTTCTACCTTAGTCAAAACGAAGATGGTCCGTTTGCCGACGGGGTCCATTTGAGCAACGAGATCCGTCACGTTGCTTCTTTCAGCATCCACCGATCCATCCTGGATGCACAGAATGATCGCATTCGGGTTGCTCATGTACTGTTGGGTCATTTGTCGAATGGAATCCCGCGTGTCTTCTGCCATGTCAACTGTCACTGTCTGTTGTGACAGACAAGAACAACGGACAACAATATCGTAAGTTTTCAGGCTTCGTGGAAGGTAAACGTGGTTATTCTTCTAGGTACGAATTAATCTCTTACGCTGATTATACCAGGCAAATCGACAAGGACCATGCGTTGAAGGCCTGGCCCCTTCACGGTCATCGATATCACGTCCTGACTGACCGTCTTGCCATTTTTCACGCTGTTCTTCATACGTATCTCCACCTCTCGCCTTAGCTCGGCTAATTCCGACTCCTTCGTTAGATCGAACTCTCTCGAACTGTCTTTGAATTGCGCTATGTGATACGGCCCTTCGCTTAGGGTTACTTTCACCGGTGCTCTCGTCATCATTTCACCACCACCTCTGATTAAAAATGAGAATACAAAATAAATAACGACAGGAACGAGGGACGATGGATTTTCAAACAATCAAGTAAGCAAGCTTTTACCTGGGGAATATTCTCGCCTGAGCAATCATTTCTAACACGGATGTTTTTCCAGAACTTTGGTCACCGACCACTACCACTCTTGGCAAGTGATCAGCAGTGGAGTAACTGCTGTCGTAGTCGCTCAGCTCGTCCAGAACGTCGCTGTACATGTCGATCAATGATTTCTAGGAAGAACGATTCGATCTTGACGTGACGATATAAATATTGAGAATTCATATGAGCACGGGTATGACTCAATTACTTTTATTTTCTTGTTACTCATTTTCTGATTGCCACGTAGCAGCATCTGCTTCCGCAGCTCTTTGTTCTCTCTTTCCAGCCGTTCCAATTCGCGCTGGTACTTCAGCTGCGTCTGCATCACCTCCTCCTGCATGGCGTTCAGCCGTTCTTGCGACTTCTCTGCGAACGATATCACGGCAGCGGTCAGTTAGAAATCTTTGTTGAAAACGATGGAGCAATGAATTTTAATAGCCTAACGTGTACATACGAGCTTTCTTACGTTCCTCCTCGATGTTATCGTTAGCCAATGGCCGAGCGAATGCAACAGTATTGTTTGTCACCTGCTGCTTTGCTTCTACGTAGAAACATTCGATGATTCAACGACGATAATGATGATTGGTATAATGTCAAATCAAAAAGTATCACTTTGCCCACGAAAGAATCGGATTCGATGGTTAGAAATTCCGGCAAAGTGATCTCAAATGAAATTTAGAATAAATATAATAGAATGAAGGTAACAAAGTTGTTCGTTAGTGGTATGCTTCGTTTTGCTGTATGAGTTATTAACGCGAAGTTAATAACTGAATAATTTAACTCGTGTGTGAACACGACGACGAGAAAGAAGAAAAGACAATGAAAAAAATGATACGTGGGGTCTGTCCCATTCAGTATTTATTGCTGCATTTTTAGTCATTTTAGTCTGAGATCTACAATTCAGTTCGATGCATAATTTTGACAAAACTCCATTTATTGAAATTCTGCCATTACTCAATTTGACTAAATTACACCGCAATATAGTGTATCTGGTATACTACTAGATATTAGTATATACTACATAACACTATCTACTGTACTACTATATCGATAAATAGAGTACTGATGCTAATGAATATATAACACTTGTATACTTATATGTATAATTATGTGTTAATTAAAATTAATCAAGGTATACTGTTATTTGTATATTTTTTTCAATGAATGAAGTTCCACTGTACAGAACCGTGAAAAAAAAAAAA